TTTCTTTTTTTTATTTTATCTTCTCTTCTACCCCCTCTTCTTCATCTTACTTGATCTTGCTCCACATCTTAATCTTCTTTTTCTCAATCTCAATCTTGTTCTTATTGTGTTTGTGTTGTTCCTCCTTTCTTTTTGTATTTCCTTGTTCTTCTTTCATTGTTCATTCTTCATTGTTTTTGTTCTTCTTTTTCTCCTTCTTTGTTTTTCTTGTTTTTCTTGTTCTTTCAAATTCTTCATTCTTATTCTTTACTTTCCCCTTCTAATTTTTCTTCGCTTTCTTCTTTTTTCCTCTCCCTCCTTGTTTCTCTCTCTCTCTCTCTCTCTCTCTCTCTCTCTCTCTCTCTCTCTCTCTCTCTCTCTCTCCTCTCTCTCTCTCTCTCTCTCTCTCTCTCTCTCTCTCTCTCTCTCTCTCTCTCTCTCTCATCAGAAGTCCATCAGAAGAAATATAACGTTTGTAAGTCTTTTTTCTCTCTTACATTCGAATTTTCTATTACATGATATGAAATTAATTAAAACAAAGAAAAAAGACAGAATTCATGAAGTCAACATGACGTCGATGCAAAGAGGATGCTCATTGTAACGGTCACCAGCAGCTTATATAGAAGGCAGAGGCAAAAACGTTATAGTCCGCACTCTCATACTTATTATGTATAAATATCTTTAATAGTCATGTAGATAACTGTTCCGAGAAATTCGCTTTTAGCTAAGTAACCTCTATTTTATATTGCTTCGTTTTATTTCATGAATCGCGACCATTTTTACGGTAAAAAATAATAAGTAAGCTCCGTTGAGCGTAGAGTAATACCAGATCCTCTGATACATTTTGAGATCGTGTTCGTCAGTATCATAAACTCTTCATTATTCTTGCTACTTGATATGTAAATGAATGTAAAAGAATTATCAATGAAACATAAAAGAATTATCAATGAAACATGGCTGCGCGTGACTTTAATATTTTTGCAAATTACAGCTACAGTCACTCCTACTTTTTCATCATTGTCCTGTAATAGTATCATATCTTAGCTTACCTTTCAGCCTTCTAAAAATCCGCTATTGGACATAGGCCTTCCCCAATCTGTGCCAGCTCGTTGAGTTATGGTTTGCATCATAGGGAAGAAAAGGACCTTACCCTACCACGCTGGGCCAGTGCGGGTTCGTAGGGCACCTTATAGACGCCTTTTACAACACGGCGTAACATACGTTGGAGGTATTTCTTTAACGTCCCCCTATCAATAGGGGATATGTGATAGCATAGTGGTTCGAATCTTCCTAGTTCTCGAACCACTTACTGATTCACTTTTGTAGGTAAATCTTTCATATGTCTCTCTAGTCTTTTTATGCAGTACTAATGTGGTGCCTTCTCAGGAGAGTATCAGAACTCACACAAGACTCGGCTACTTTTGCATTTATACCTTTTCACAGAAGACTCGGCCACTTTTGCATTTATACCTTTTTACAAATTTATTGATAAAAAAAGTCAATATCAATGTTAATACCAATAGCCATTATTAAGTTTACGAACCCATCTCTTACCGCCACCATAAAGTTTGTTGCCACTTATCGATAACTGTTGACATTACAGTTTTAATAAGTTGATGTGGTATAAACTTAATCTCAGTGGCATTAAATGAGTGATACCAGTTATACGAGATTGTATAATATAATTGTCTCATATATCATAAATACAGCATATGTATATAAATGTTCTCTTCTCTCTCTCTCTCTCTCTCTTTCTCTCTTTCAATACTATACAACATCCATGAGTACAAGCTTAGTAATTTTTTTCTATATTTCGTTCACTAGTTGCGGGTTTTGCGTAAGAAAAGTATAAGGCTATGAACGATATCTGTGAAAATCGAGTGAAAATGAACACTGCAGGCTGGATTGACCTCGGCTAATTTTCAGACTTAAGGAGCAGTCAACTCTACTGAAGCTTATAGTAGTTATTCCTACCGTTAACTAATGACATGCTAATGATATATGCAATTATAATCCTTGAAAGCACACGACCTTATTTCAATATACTCAAGAATATCATTAGAGGCTTGTTATAACAAATATAGGTACTTCATTACGCAACTGACTCAACCGTGAGAGTAGAGTTCTATCATCAACTACCGGGGCTTCAAACTCGAGGAAGGGAAGAAAGCCTTCGTGTATCATCCTTAAACTTATTACAAAACCTTCTCTACGCATATAAGTTTATGTGAACATAGAACCAACTTTGACATTTAAATTCTACACCTACAGAGAATACCTGACACTCAGCCAGTTTGTTAAGATTGTGAGAATGAATATACAATAAACGGACATGCATATAAACAGAAATAAATGCATATCTGTCTGATAGATATACATCTATCTGTCCTGTAGATATGCATGTTAAGACTGATAGATGTGCATTTACTTCTGTGTATATGCAGACCTGTATTATGATTATCTATTAGGCCTTGCACAATTTTAGCAAACCGGCCGAATGACCCTTACTGTAGCCTCTCAC